TTAAATTGAGGCTCCACCTGTAAAGACAGAATCAGAATCTGAGGCTCACCTTTAGCCTGACCGACCAGAATTTAAATTCTAGGTCCTTAAACAGGGTGGGGTCTCGCAGCGGTGGGCCGTCTGACTCTTCATGGGATCTGCTTTCCACCCAGGCCCAGACATCTGTGGTCCTGGCACCAAGAAGGTTCATGTCATCTTCAACTACAAGGGCAAGAATGTGCTGATCAATAAGGACATCCGGTGCAAGGTGTGCCTGGGAGGGGGCCCCGGATGGCTCTTAGGGGAATCCCAGAGGGTAGCCTAGTGGGTGGGGCCACTTACTTGCCACCCTGTTCAGGACGATGAATTCACACACCTGTACACGCTGATTGTCCGACCTGATAACACATATGAAGTGAAGATTGACAACAGTCAAGTGGAGTCAGGCTCCTTGGAGGAGGATTGGGACTTCCTGCCGCCGAAGAAGATAAAGGATCCTGATGCTGCCAAGCCAGAGGACTGGGATGAGCGTGCTAAGATTGATGACCCCACAGACTCCAAGCCTGAGGTTGGTGCTCGGGCAGGGCCTCTCCCTGCCACCTTGGAGAGTGTGGAGAACAGCCGGGCCCATGGATCCCCTCCATTCCCTAGGACTGGGATAAGCCTGAGCACATCCCAGACCCTGACGCTAAGAAGCCTGAAGACTGGGATGAAGAGATGGATGGGGAATGGGAGCCACCAGTGATTCAGAACCCCGAGTACAAGGTGAGCCTGTGGCTGTGGTGTAGCTCATAGCTTGAAGGTAGGAACCTGCCCTGGATTGGATATCCAGCATCCCCAAAACAAAACTATCTGAGCAGGGCTGGGGCTCACAGTGTGGAGTGTACCCCTTTTTATCAACTCTGGTTCCTTTCGGCAGGGCGAGTGGAAGCCACGGCAGATCGATAATCCAGATTACAAGGGTACCTGGATCCACCCAGAAATTGACAACCCTGAGTACTCTCCGGATGCCAGCATTTATGCCTTCAATAACTTCGCTGTGCTGGGCTTAGATCTCTGGCAGGTGAGATGTAGAGAAGGGTCTGTGGGGAGGAAGGAGACAGGTGGAGGACTCACACCCGCCAGGCAGGGCTAGCTCTGCCTTGGTACACTTTTTGAAGCAGTCTGTGGTCTGTCCTGGGGTGCCCTCACAGCATACACCCTTTTCGAGGGTCTACTTATTAAGTGTTGGGTGTTTTTTTTTTCTTTTTGAGACAGAGTCTCGCTATGCAGTTTAGGCTGGCCTTGAGCTCACTTTGTAGCCCAGGCTGGTCTTGAACTCACAAGGATCCTCCTGCCTCATCCTCCCGAGTGCTGGGATGACAGGTGTGTGCCACCACGCCCAGCTTCTTTGTTTTTGGAGACAGGCTCTTCCAACTGGCCTTGAACTTGATATGTAACCCAGGATAGCCTTCAACTCAACAAGATCCTCCTGCCTTAGCCTCCCTTGTAATGACAGGCGTGTGCCACTATGCTCCGGCCATATGTGGGTTCTTCAAGTGCTTCTGCAAGTCAACTCATTTGACTACAGCTGGCCTTGACCGGAACCTGGTGGGGGGTTGGGGTGTAGCTCAGCGGTGGATACGATATTTGTTCCCTGGGAAGTCCTGGGTTTGATTGGACTGAATTTCTGTCAGGGAAGCACTTCTTCAGCAAAGATAGTTTTTGGCACACATTCTCAGTACCTGAAAAATACCTGCATAAGGAGGTGAGCCCCCATTTTACAGGTGAAGAAGACACCAAGGGGCAGAGAAGTAAAGGGTAGTTGCCCAAAATCGCCTGAAAGACAGGAGGTGGCAGGAGGTGAGCTGTGTTTTGAGCTGCAACAGTGGTGTCCCCACGGTCCCCAGAGACCAGCAGCACATGGTGGTTACAGGAACACAGCTGGCTCCTTGTCCAGAGCCAGGATTATGGACTGTGGCCTCTGACCACCGCTCCTCTCCCATCACCCCCAGGTCAAATCTGGCACCATCTTTGACAACTTTCTCATCACCAACGACGAGGCATACGCAGAGGAGTTTGGCAACGAGACGTGGGGTGTCACAAAGGTGGGGCAGGGCTCAGCTCTGGTCTGGGGGGCAGGCAGGGCTGCCTTGGGAGCTGGGCTCTGATCCGGAGAGCATTCTGCCTGCAGGCTGCGGAGAAGAAGATGAAGGACAAGCAGGATGAGGAGCAGAGACTGAAGGAAGAGGAAGAGGATAAGAAGCGCAAGGAGGAGGAGGAGGCGGAAGACAAGGACGACGAGGAGGACAAAGACGAGGATGAGGAGGACGAGGAGGACAAGGAAGAGGAGGAAGAGGAAGATGCCACTGGCCAGGCCAAGGACGAGCTGTAGAGGCCACGTCACCCCACCAGGGCTGGACTGAGGCCTGTGCGCCCCTGCTGCAGAGCCGGCCGCGCCAAATAATGTCTCTATGAGACCCAAGAACTTTCATTTTTTTCCAGGCGGGTTCAGATTTGGGGTGGATTTTGATTTGTGTTCCCCGCCTTTTTTTTTTTTTTTTTTTTTTTTTTTTAAAAACAGGTGTTCTGTCTCCTTCAGCCCTCTGTCCCCTCCTGCCTTTCCTCTTTCTTGACCAGCTTCTTCCCCTTCTTTCCAGGATCCCTTAGCTACCCTGAGGGCAGGGATGTGGAGGAGAAGCCCTAGGCTTGAGATTCTATCTGCTCCCCTTCCTGGAGCCCAGAGAGGGGCGGCAGAAAGGGGTGGCTTCTCTAGCCCCCCCAGCACTGAGGAAGAGTGGGGCCCTTCCCATCCCTTTTTCTCCCCTTCCTCTTGACTGGGCCATTTCTGGGTGGGGCAGTGGATTCCAGCTTGGCTCACAGTGAGAATGTAAGAACTGCAAACAAAATTTCTATTAAATTAAGTTTTGTGTCTCTCCACTGTGTCATCTTCTGGGAGGATGGGGTAGGCATCAGGGAACCAAAGGTGGCCTAGGGGGTGGATCTGCAGGAAGTTCACTTCACAGCTATGGAAAGGAGGACCTGGTACCCTGGGAGAGAGCAGGGGTACTGTGCACCTGGTGGCCCCCAGACCACTAGGATGACTTGTAAGTTACTTCTGCCCACAATCCAGGCATGAGCCTGCTGATTCCTCATACCTTCACACTGCACGGTGACAGCCAGGAGCCCTGGTCTGTTAAGGAGCAAGTCTACACAGGGTAATTGAGATATTTAAACGTTTATACCAGCCAGTGGTAGTAACGATGTTTAATTCCTCTGCTAAGGAGCTGAGCTCAGCATGGTGTGTACCTTTCCCCAGGACCAATGGTCTTTGGGCTAAATTGGTATTTGGGAAACCAAAGGGCTGGGTGTAGCTTAAGGGAAGACCAGAACACGTTGCCTGGGGTGTGCAAGGCCCCTGCCTCCATCTTCAGCTCTGCAAGAGAAAAGGTGCAGGCAAGGGAGCGCTGGATGGCCTAACAGGTGCAGTGGGCTGTGGGGTGAGAAGGAGCCTAGCACAGTAAAGCAGGAGTTGGACGGGGTGAGGAGTCTGGCCTGGTCAGTCAGTGCCTGAGGGGAACCGTTCAGGGCAGCAGGGCTGGAGGCAGCTAGTGGTCAGTTCAGGATTGGGGGTGTTGCTAGTCTCTAACCACCCTTCCTCCCATAGTTAACTACTAAATGGGGGACCAGCCTCACCTCCATGCAGTTGCCTGAGGCATCCTGGAACTGCCCACTCGGCCCACTCTCAATGCCTGTCCTTGGACTGGACTCACTTCACTGTCCAGGGTCCTGTTCCGGCCCTGGCCTCTAGGAAGTCTGGTTTGGTGGATTCAGGGAAGATTTATAGAGCGAATTCTGTACTCAGTATAGGTTGGACTGGGCCAGGGATATAGCTCAGCAGCACAGCACCTGCCTGGCAAATGCAAGGTCCTGAGTTCAATTCCTGATACAAAAAAAAAAAAAAAAAAAGCAATATAGGTTGTACTTAAGTCACATCCTAAATTCTGTACTTCAGGGGTCAGACAGTGGAATAAACTGGTGGGAGGAGCAGCAGAAGTGGGAGATCAAGAACAGAAACTGCAGAGTCATACCAAAAATCTAGATTGTTCCCTATACAGAGTGAACCAACTTTTTTTTTTTTTTTTTTTTTTTGTCTTTTCGAGACAGGGTCGCGCCATGCAGCTCAGGCTGGCCTGAGCTCACTTCGTAGCCCAGGCTAGTCGAAACGATCCTTCTGCCTCAGCCTCGCGAGTGCTGGGATTACAGGCATGCCCCACCATGCCCGGCATGAAACAAACTATTAAATGGCCTTTGGCTCGGCTTGCAAACTTACACACTCCAGCTTGCAAATTCTTAAGTTTTTCTGTTGTTGGGTCTCCCTACGGGGCTCAGGGTAACCTTGAACTCAAGTGATCCTCTCGCCTCAGACTTCTGAGTGTGCCACCATGCCGGGCTTTAGTCAATTTTTTTTTTTTTTTTTTTTTTTTTTTTAAGGAGGAAAGGTTTATTAGCACACAGTTTTAGAGCTTTCAGTCCATAATTGGTTGGGTCCAGGGCAGAGGTGGGCAGTCCAGAGGAGATACAGTTCATGGTGGCAGAAGATAACAAAAGCAAGCAAGAAAGGGCCCAGCTTTATTGTAGTCTGAGTAATTTTCAGGATTTCAACTAAGATGGTTAAACCCCAAGAAAACTCAATTTGGAACAGACGAAAAGCATGAACAAAGGTTTTTGAAGAGGTGCAAGTATTTACAGCAAGTTAATAATAAACTTCAATGTCATCAACAATATGAAACATTTGAGGGTGACAGCTGGGACATTAGAGCCATTTTGGAGCCATATGACGTCACCGCTAACGTCCATGACGTCATCCTGGAAGCTACGTGACGAGAAGGCGCACAGGATGAGCCTCCTCTCCCGCAGAGCAGATGTCAATCTGCGCATGCCTAGCCAGGTGAGCGCTCGAGCGCATGCCCATGAGGGTGTGTGTGTGTGGGGGGGGGGGGTCACGCGTAGGTCACGTGGGCTGGCAGTCAGCGCGCGCGGCGCTTGACCCGGAAGCGCTTGGCGTGCGGCGCGGCTGGGCGCTAAGATGGCGGCGGCGTGAGTTGCATGTTGTCTGAAGATCCAGGGGCCGCCGCGTTGCTCGGGCCCCGCCATGGCCGTCACCATCACGCTCAAAACGCTGCAGCAGCAGACCTTCAAGATCCGCATGGAGCCTGACGAGACGGTGCGGGCCGGGTCCGAGCCGGGGGACGGGAGCGACGGGTACCGGGGGTGGGGTGGGGGCGGGGAGGTCAGGATCCCGCGGGAGGGGCGCAGAGATCGGCGCGGGTTGGGCCCTGCCCACTCCCCCACCCGCCGGGCTC